AAAACCGATAAAAACCCTGAAAACCATACATTTCACACCTGAGCCTCATCTCTCGCGGCCCGGTACCAAACGACTCACGGACCGGTACCGGTACTGGTCCGAGGCCCGGGGGTTGGGGACCGCTGTGATAAGATGTCCCTCCATTATAGAACAGTACAGTCACACCCAGAGACGTGCATCTGACAGGTTTGTACAGAGCTGGGGATGGATCAGAATGAGAGTCCAACAGACACTGCACTTTTACGTGGTAGGAATCTGTTAGACCCACCCCCAAATCTTCCCTCACTTCATACATACATCTAATCAGTCAATCACAGGGCAGCAACTTAATGAATTACACACAGTCTGGGTGACTGTGGATGTATAATCTGAGCATCAGAATGGGGAAGAAAGGTGATTTAAGTGAATGTGGCACGGCCGTTTGTGGATGATGAGCTGGTCTGAGTATTTCAGAAACTGCTGATCTAATTGGGATTTTCACACACAACCATCTCTAGGGTTTACAGAGATTGGCTTGAAAAAGAGAAAATATCCAGTGAGTGTCTGTTCTCTGGAAGAAAATGCATTGTTGATGCAAGAGGTCAGAGGAGGAATGTCAGACTGTTTTGAACTGATAGGAAGGCAACAGTGACTCAGATAATCAATCAATACAAACAAAGTATGCAGAAGAACATCTCTGAACACGTGCAACCTTGAAGCAGATGAGCTACAGCAGGAGACCATACCAGGTGTCACTCCTTTCATCTAAGAAGATGCTAAAATTACCATAGGCTCAACAATGTTGGACAACAGAAGACTGAAAAAACACTCAAATTCTACTATGATATTTGGATGTAGAGTCAAAATTTGTCATGAACAATTTGATAGGATCCATCATGCCTTATGTCAATGGTTCAGGCTTGTGGTGATGGCGGTGTGGGCATTTAAATGTCACTCAATAGAAAAGAGCACAGTGAGGATGTGGTGGTGAATGTGCAACATCTTGTTGAATTGACGCCACTAAGAATTAAGTCCATTCTGAAGGATAAAAGGGGTCCAACTCAGTACTGGTAAGGTGTAACTAATAAAGTAGCACATTATTCAGTAACCACAGCTGTATGCATGTAAATAAGGATTTATGCAGATCCACTAACAAGCATTTTTTCTTAAAATCACTCTGCATCTATCTCTCTAAACAACCTTTATTCCAAAGCCCTGCAAAACCAAGAGCTAAGCCTCACAACAACAGTGCTGTGCAAACACCGATTAAAATAACCCAAATAACAATGCAGTGCAAAGAAAACGTATTCCGCAATCTACTAAAAGCCAAAGAGATTATGAATGGGCAAAATATCCGTCCGCCCACGCTCGACGGGTGAGGTCAAGACACAGATAGACCTCCATCTACAGCGAAAAACAACAAATTTAACTCGGAAATCCCAGATTTTTACAGAGCTTAAGGGCCTTTCAATATTATAGAGACACTTATAATAAGACACCTACATCAAGACCAGCAGGAGAATGAAATAGGACGACTTTGCAGCCCAGTATGCACAACACAAAAAGCATTCATGCGCATGACAAACTGTAAATGCTGCATATAATTAAGGAGATGAATTATTTTCTGCCGTAAGTTATAATATAATAATGAAAATTCAGGGTTGGATGTGTGCATCCCCTTCACATTCACATTATTGTAACCGTATGATGTTTATTATATGCTCTGATGCTTTGAGCAGCTGTCCTCCTCGGTTTGTTTCATGCGCAGTCTAAAGATCCGTCACACAGTCACGCGTCTCCTCCTGTTCTCGGAGCAGTCGTCATTCCCTTACCCCGAGGAGCTGTCGGCAGAAAGCCGCGGTGACTGTCTTGCCTGTTTGTGTGTGACTAACCTTTTTGGCAAATCAGCTGCCGTTTGCCATCTACCAGGTGGAACATCATTCTGACTTCAAATCGACACACTTATTCAACGTTTCTCTCAGCACACCAGCCGGATCGGAGAAAATAAATAATATACTTTTTGTACTCAGCCCTGAAAGGAACATTATTAACCAAGCTCCAAGTCAAGTACAGGCTGTTACCACCTTACACAGATGCTGCAGTTCTGAATGAATAATCACAGTGTTAATGATTAGTGTTAGTCATTTTTTCTGTGCGTGGCAAAAAAAAAAAAACACCAAAAGATTTTTGTTCTGCGCCTTCATCGCTGTTCTCGCCGACTCTCTTTGTTTGCACGTGTAACATAAAACAGCTGAAAGCATCCTGAGGAATGTGGATGTTTGATTTATTTCTCAAATCAATGGCACATTCTCGTTCCTATGCTAAGTAGAAACAGGGGTGTCACCGTAGGAGCTCTGTGGGCGAAGAGCTCCGTCATGCATGACAAACAGACGTAGATCTTTGATCTGCAGTCATGAGAAAGTTTTCACAGCAGTCTATACAGTCCACACTGTTACGGATTCAAATATTGGGGATGGATACAAGAGGAAAACCCAAAATAACCACACTGGTCCGGCCGGGTCAAGTCAAACGATGATTTAATGAACACACGCGTGGGAGATGGACACCATACAGCAGACAGCATCAGATCTCAAAATGGTGGAGCCTTGATCAAACTCTTATAGCCTCTAGTGGCCCCCACCTAATCATAAAAGCCTAAACATTCACATTCTTTCTCACACACAGCGCCTAAGCTACGACCTTGACTCCCTGTTTATCTGCTCCTGCTGAGATGGGGCAGAATGCTCTGTTCTCTTCTAACCAGACAAATAAGGCGATGACTTTCTGCAAACAGTATTTCTTATAACTCACAGTATAATGCATCATAAAACAATATCATTCATTCACAATAAATCAGCAGTCTAATGTAATGCAAATCAGTTTACCAAATGTAATAGTTATACCCTCTTCTAATTTAGGAGAATAATGCAAACTAAAACTACATAATAATTTACAATCTTTAATTAGGGGTCTAACATGGCATAAAATAATATTATAATCCGACAACACTCACTGCTTCCATAAGAATTAAGAGAAAAAGAAGCAGCCAGGTCCTGCTATTCAACACTAGATTTGCAAAGTTGCATCTGAACAAACCGGTTACAGCTGACAGCTGCCCCTCCCTGATCCTGGTTCTTCCTGTTAAAAGGGAGTTTTACCTTCCCACTGTCACCAAAGTACTTACTCACAGGGGGTTGTCTCACGGCTGGGGTTTTCTCTGTATCATTGTAGGGTCTTTGCCTTACAACAAAGTGTTTGAGGTGACATTTGACTGTTTTAGACACAGCACCATGTTTGATGGAAAGCACACACAGCATATTAGGGCAAACATCTGATACCAACTATAAAGCATGGTGGTGAAGGGGTGATGATTTGGGTTTGTTTTGCAGCCACAGGACCTGGGTGCCTTGCAGACAGATCAACCACAAAGTCCTCTGTATAGGTTGGTTTGGGCTTAGAAATTGGGGGATATTTTCTTGGCATATTTTGGATCTCTTAGTACCGACAAAGTATCTTTTAAATGCAGCCTACTCCAATATTGTTTAGCTATGTTCTGAGGACATTTATGTGCTTTTTGTGCAGAGGAGTTTTTTTTGTTTCCTGTTCTCATGCTGTCCTACCATGGAAGCACAGCATGAGTAGAGGTCTCTTTTTTTCCTTTTGTACTTTCCCACTGTAGTGTATATTTCAGTGTTTTTCTGTAATGCTACCGATCTCCGACTTGTATCCCCATGTAATGTCTGTGTTGTGTGTGTAAGGTCCGGGGGGGGGGGGGGCCCATTTCACTGCAGGGCAGCCTGCATGTGGCAAATAAAGCTTTGATTGATTGATTGATTCATGTTCTGCGCCATGTCACAAAGCTCAGATCATCTCAAACTTGTATTTTAAACATAACTGTACTCAAATGGCCTTCACATTTGAGTCCATATCTGAGTATAGAGTCAAATGTGAGGCTATCTGTCTGACAGCTAAAGCTTGGCTAAAACTGAGAGATACAGCAGGATAATGTTCCCAAACAATCCAGCAAATCTACAAAGGGAAAGGCTGAAAAGGAAAAGAAAAGAATCAAAGAATGACTGCAGTGGCCCAGTCAAAACCTCAATTTGACTGAAATGCTGCAGTGGGACCCTAAGAGAGCTTTGTATAAATGAACGTCAGTGACTCTTAATCAACAGAAGCAACGGTGTAAAGAAGAGCGAGCCAAAATTCCTCCCCAATGGAGAATATTTATTATGCACAGACTAGATGCACAGCACTGCATCGAGCCCTGTGAAAATATTCCTTTTTCACATGACTGTAAGTCTGCTCTGGCAGCTTTTCGACTGACAGGTGTCCCAACACAGATTGTCAATCGAGTCGCTGATCTGCACCTGCATCGTGTTTTCGCTTTTGGTGGCTGTTAAAGTAATTTTATTGGACTCGTTTGACGAGTAACACGGCCTGCTGTGTGGTACTGACCATACAGATGGCTGTGCTCCATTTTTGATGGGTGAAACTTCGCACCTGTCATTCAAATACGGCCACAAAAGCACAGCGGTGGTCAAAATGGTAATTCTGAGGCTTCGAATACAAAGTCCAAAGCCAACAGATGACGGTCTGTGGTCTTACCAGAGAGCTCAGCAGTCAGTGTGTCCGTGTCTCCGTACTCAAACTCCAGGTTTGGAGACTCCATGGAGCTCTGCAAGAGCAAAACACACATTAGCACACATAATGTAGCTGAATTCAGTTAATCACAGTTTCCCCAAACGCCCACATTGACATTGAAATAGATGCAAAAACATACTGTGGGGTATTTACATATCCCAACACCTACAATTACTATGTACTCGGTTTGCAGTCACATCCATACACACATCACCCACACACACACACACACACTCACCATGGCTTTTTACTGGTGGCTGATTTTTCAGGCAGTGCTGATTAGTCATTTACATCTTTCCTCTGAGATCCTCTTACGCAGAGCCACTCACTCATGGTTACAGGTGCTCTCTATGGACGCACACAGCTACTGCTTTAATCAGCCTAATTGAACAGTCAGAGAAGGCTTTCCCTAGCCAGCACCAGAACAAGAGGAAAGAGAAGGCACAGGAGTCAACATGCCCCCACCCCCATATCAAAGCAGATTATCCACTGTATCCAGGAAAAGGTCTCTCTAAGCTCTGACATTAGCCTCACCCTGTGATTTACAAATACCCACGAGACAGGCTGCACACATTTTCTATGTTTCACGCAATCGCAACACTCAAAATCTGTGAGCGTTTGAACAGTATGTGATCCACGCACACACACACAGTCATATTTAGAGCGTAACCTTAGGGCAAGACAACTGAAAAATGTAACTTTGTCCCAGATCTCACCAAACTAACAACACTCCCAGCAGCCTCACACTCTTTTGTCTAGCTAGCTTACTGACCAAGACAGACCTAATAAATTATGAATGCATTATATGAAGCCTTTCTCAACATCTAAACAAGTAAAACCAAAGTTGGGAGGGTAAGCGTATAAACGCACGCACACAACAGAGGGAGATGGGCAGATAAGCTCGCAGAAAGGCCTGCAGTCACTGTCCTTTTGAAACAAATTCATTTGCAGGGAAGCAGGATGCACAGTACACATAATGACACCTTACTAACTTGCACCAAGACACACTGCACAGTAAGTAGCATGCAGCCATACAGAGAGGCTTTTAAAACCGTGTAAGGGTAGGAACAAAGTGGTGAAAGGGTTGTGCTTGATAATAACGTGAAGCAAAATTTCTCTACAAGGATTATAAAAGATTCATGTTATGCTAATGAGAATTAAACGCTCCTGGCAGCACTTAGCTTCAGGCTAAGGGTGTGAACCGTGTTTAACCCTGTGCAAACGGCCCTGGGGACCGGTTCAGGACGGTAAATAAGGATCTCTGAGTCAGGCATCCTGGTTAAATAACTGTGTGCTGCCATGTCTCCTATAAATACCTGCTGCAACCAAGTCAGCAGGAAGTAGAATATGCAGGACATTAGATGGCAGTTTGTTTATGACCGAGAGCCTGAGCAACACAACTTGATATCATTACTGCACTTGTAAACCAGGAAATGAAAACCACTTGGGAGTCAGAATGATTGAAGGAAAATGCTTATCGTGACCCTTAAAGCAGCAGAAGGGAGGCTCTGCAGTGTTTATCCTTGGCTGTCTGTTTTTGAAGGGGGCGGGTGAACCAAAGCTAGGGGGATGTTGGTGACAGTGGTAAGGGTTTTATTTTCCAGGGACAGTTATGAAAAAGAGCCATATCGTCATTTTAGACGGATTAACACTTGCCGGGGAGGAATTACGGCACTCACAGTAATTTACAGAGTTGTCTACACCTTGAGTATTAATGTCTTCACATTACCACACTCTGGTTAGTGTATGTGAGAAAGTGCTTTACACACAGACAAGCCCACATGATAAAACATACACAACAGAAAGCCCAGGAGAGCAGAGGAGAGAAATTAGTGTCATCACAAGACCCTAACTAGAGCTCGGCCAAAAGTAAAGAATAGATGGAGAAATGCCTTTAAACCATGTTTTGAGTGTTGCTGTTGCACATTTCGTCCACCAGGGGGCAACTTTCCTATTTCAAACATATGTTTGGAAGGTAAAGGAGTAATCTTTGACAATGAAATCATTGTTTTTTAAGGACCAAGATAATTAAAGAATCCAAAGTCTTATAAATAAATGCACATAACAAATATTAGAGAAATATGTTTATGTTTTTTGTGTCTGAAAGAAGAAAAAAACATTGGCCGAAATATCGAATTTTCGTCAATTATCGGCATGGTATATGTCTATTAGGCTCTAAATCTAACTTGTAGCTTTAAGGTAAGTAATACAAAAAAAAATCTACTGGTACTAGTACCAACAACAACATTTCTGATAGTGTGACATTCCTACTTCGGACTTGTTCTTATTGTTGGTCTTCTCTTTAACTTCATGCATTACAAACACACGTTTCAGAAAAAACAATTTTGTCAGGCGACTTTTATCAAGTGAACTTCATCTGATTAGTAGCTACTATAATATTACAGCTATTACAAAACCATCCTTTATTAACATTATTCATCATTAATAATTAAACAATGCATAAAATTCCAATGATTACTAGTTTTCTTAGTCAATAAAATAATTATTCACAACATTAAGTGTAACCAAACAGCCTTAGAACTGGCAGTTCATTTTAAAATTGCTAAATTAAGACACGTGCAGACCCTGCAAGAATTTCCTAGATTAGTTTTATGCAGAAAAATATACAAAAATTCAAGAAAAACAAACCAAACTGTTTAGCTTACACTGAAAATTGTGTGACCATGTAAAAGTGATTGAGGCAACTTGTTTTCAAGGCCTTTAACACTTTCACTTAGGCTTAATTAGCCTTGATAAATTAGTTAAATAGATTATATTACTGAGTCTCTCAGTCCCTCAGTCCTCCATTGGCATCCCTGAAACTGAAGTTAACTCCTCTGCCCAAACCGAAATGACATGTCTCTTTATGTTTCTCTTTAATTCTCATGCCTCTCCTCTCTCTTCTTCGTCTGCTGCTACTCTTACATTTCTCCTTACAATTACCCAGTCTCTCTCTTCCACTCCTTCATTTTCCCCCATTCACTCTCGTTTACCATTCCTCTTCTCTTTGCCGCCAGCTGATAACCAAAATTGCCCCGGCTCCAAACTGAACTGGCACGGCTCCTGTGTTTGCACGCTCTACACCGCATCAGCGTGCAAACACCGGGCGCAGTGTCAAGGCTGAACGCCCCCTCTCCTACCAACATATGCCAACATGGACAACCGATGACCACTCCAGCCAGCAAGAAAGACAAACAGTCACGTACACGACTGAGTAAGGTTTGAGATTCCTGGTTCAACTGTAGAGGCCAGGGAACCTCATTCATTCACCCCCCAACCCCCCTATCCCACAATCCATTGACCGTATGATGAATATGCTCTAGTTCCCCCAAAAAACATTCAGCGTCCTCTTTCAAAGCACTCTGAATGGTTTCGGCTTCAACGCACTCTGAGTAACATCTCTTATGTATCTGGACCGAGTAACCCCACCAATGAAGCCCATCATCTAGTAATTTTTTCATGAGGAGGATGAATTATAGCTGCCGAGCACTGAGGGAGCCTTAACAACAAGCCTCGCCAGTCAAGTTTAGAAATAGCGGAGGAGATTACAGCTTATAGGTCCATATTACAGAAGGTGACTCCCATAAGCAGTCTACGGTGGCTCTAAACACTCTTTAAACCACAGAAAATATGCTTATGCACCGGACCTATGGGACCGCCTCAGTCTTTTTTATCAAAAAAAGGGATACTGCAATGATGTAAAAAAAAAAAGAAAAAAAAACAATTATTGGCTGATTCCAATGTACACCCAGCAGTTCAAACACAAACTCATACTGGATTTGCAGGTACAAATTCTTAGACAGTAAAAAGACTCTAATATCAACATATTAGTCAATATTCTATTTGCATACACTTGCTAGCTACTTCATTAAGTATACCTGTTCAACAGCTTGTTTATGCAAATAACTAATCATCCAATTATGTGGCAACAAGTCAATACATTTAGGCATGTAGATGCAGTCAAGTCGGCCTGTGGGAATTCAAACTGAGCATCAGAATGGGGGAAGAAAGGTGATAATCTACTGGGATTTCTCCGATGGCAAGACTGCTTCAAGCTGAAAGGAAGGCAACGGTAGCTCAAATGATCACTTGTTACAATCAATATGTGCAGGAGAGCATCTTTGCTGCTGAAGCAGCAGAAGAGCACAATGGGTCCCACTCCTTCCGGTTAAGAAGAGGAAACTGAGGGTACAATTTGCACAAGCTCACTAAAATCAGGCAGAAGATTGGAAAAAAACCAAACATTGCCTGGTTGGATGAGTCTCGATTTGCAACAGGATCGATATTTGGTGCAAATGACATGAAAGCAATGATCCACCCTGACGTGTAGCAATAATTCAGAAGGCAATTATGGTGTGATAGTGTAGGGAGATAATTTCTTGATGCAGTTTGAGTTCAAATACAATCTCATTTATATAAAACGCATTACAAATTGAAACTTTCTAACTCACAACGTTTACGCTGACTACATATTTTCATCATTTGTGCCTCTCTGTTTTTTTTATCAGTTTACAATAGATGACAACAGCCTCCAGAGCTAGCTAGAAGGCAGAGGAGGTCACCTGCTGGTGATATGTATGGGACTGGAAACAACTGTACATTTAGTGGGATTGTAGCATCCAAATTAGGTCTCTGACGTGCCCCAAGCATTCATATATATCCCAAACAATTCTAAATTTATGACAGGCCAGCATCGGCTTATTATTGTGCCACCAGTATATCACTCATACTGTAGTTCAAACCTCAAAGGTTTTAAATTTGCACATATTTTATTGTCTGGCAGCCACTTTTATTTCAGTTTCCAAGAAAGCGTACTAAACCAAATCCCTCCTTTTACAAAGATCCCAAATAAAACCAATAAATGCTCATCTGAGGGGCAGGCGGACTGCCAAAAACTGATCCGATTCTCTGATTGATTAAATGGAGGATGCACTCCAGATGCCAAAAGGACACCACGAGGACACAAATATGATATGCAGTTACGCTCGGTGGTCCTGGGAGCAGCAGTCACATTTCACCACCTGCAGCCCCCCACGCTGAGCACCGCTGTAGGATTACCGCTGGGTTATTTATAGGAGCCGCTGCCAAAATAACACCTTGCCGTCTGCCCGCATGCATGCAGGCATGCTCTCGAGTCAAGACGACGACTCGCTGCATGGAAAGGACATTCAGCTGATCTGAAAGCTTCCCAGCAACAACACACACATACACACACGTACGCACACACAGCCGTCCAGTGCGCTCCTGTACCAGGAGCTGTGGGAGCCCGCTGTGCTGTACTTGAATTTACCTCTGACTCCTTCTGCTGATCCTTGAACACATCTTTCCCTTTCGGCCTCTGTCTGTCGCCGTTATCGTTAAGGTTATTAATGATAGGTACCTCCATGTCCTCAGTCTGCATCTTTCACGGTCGGCTCGGCTCACTTCCTCCTCCTCCGCGGATAGTGCATACCGGTCCGGTGGACAGCTCAAGACTGCACCGCGTCAGGAGGGGGGGACCGACTCCGGAGAGCCAAGTTGAGGATCTCCTCCTCCTTCTCCTGCTGCTGCTGTTGCGACTCCCCCCCTCCCGATATGTTTGATTCGCTGTCCCTGCTCGAACCGAGAGGGCGGAGTTAAAGAGAGTCGCATCAGCTGACACATGGAACCAAAACGATGTTAGTGTACTAAAGTGGAGGTTGAATGGCTCAAAGTATTAGAAGCAGCTACATCTTATAAAAATAACTGCTGCATCCCCTTTGCTGAGCTGCCACACAGTCTGCCGTCAGCTGTGATGTCACTGTCGCAGATCACTTCATGTGTGTGCGTCTTCATTTGTCATTTCACCTCCTGTCACTTTCCCCTGTGAATTATTGATGCGTGGCTGTGTGGGGATTGTCCTGCAGACTGAAACACACACAGCCCCCCGACTGTGGAAAAACCACTTAAGATGACATGATTGGAGTGAACAGTTCAGAGCAGGCTTGTGCCACATGGCTAGGGCAGTGGGGGAGGTGAGAGAGTTCAAGGTTAAATAGTAATTTACTGGTGGTTAAATCCATCGCAGGCCAAGTGTAAGATCAGCAGACGCAACACAGGAGCTACAAAAACACAGTGATGTGAGGAACTCTAGAGCAAGCCAGAGGAGCAGCGGGAACTTGTCTAAATGTAACTCAAGTAGACTCACTTTCAGAATTTTATGTGATTTCAGTTGATGGACGATTTTTTTAGGAAGGCAAATTGGATTTATCAAAAACATTAACTGTTTAGTTTCATGGTAGCAGACAAAGTGTTGGGAAGGTTACTTTTAAAATGTATTCCATTACAGAATACAGAATACATGCCCCGAAATGTATTCTGTAACGTATTCCGTTACGTTACTCAATGAGAGTAACGTATTCTGAATACTTTGGATTACTTAATATATTATCATGCTGTTTAC